GCACGGGCTGCTGGCGAATATGGCGGAGGGGATGTTGCTGCCTCCGCCGAGGTATGTTGATGACCTGGAGGTGGATGCTGACGTGTCACTGTGGAGTTATTCTATTTAGTTCTTTTTAGGAGGTGTGATATTGTGTATTTTAGTTGGGGATTTTTTTGTTNACTCGAAAAATTATATTTGTGGACTTAGACTTAGTAAGGACTAAGAGAATCTGCTCTTCTGAATGTAAATGACAAACAGGGAAGGAGATAATTTTTTTTTATATATATATTTCTCACCTGATCTTATCTTACAAGGTGTGAAGAAATTTATAGTTATAAATTGTGTTTTATTCATCATATTCTTTACTACTCACCCGGTGTTCATATTAATTTATGTTAGGCCATTGTGTGAGTTCGTGCCTAAGTGCCTTCATAGGCCATTGTTCCGAGTAGCTGAAATAAATGTTGATACAGGTAAAGAACAAACCTTGGTGCCCCAAATGCGAAACCTGGGAAAATCTTAAGACATTTTCTAATTCCCTGTTTCAGCATTAAATCAAAAACAGACCAAATCTTCCATGACCTGAAGATTGCCCCATGTGCCAACTTTGAGGTTAGGTGTCAAGTAGAAATGAATCTCCAGTCCATTCAGACAAGAAAACGAAAAAGATTCACAACGGTAAATTATCCGAAAGAAATAAATACATCAGTTGTCAAGACATGGTGTTGGCCAGAGTACATTGTGACATTTTAGTTTAGCTTAGATATTGCTAAATGAACTTGGCTCTATGCCTCTATCCCTAAGGGGCAACTGCAAATGCTAACACCCTTAGAATATTGAAAAGATAAGATGAACTCTTATCGTGTTCTTGTCATTGCAGCATGTATCTTGCATACCCTTAGAATTAATATATAATCTGGTTTTTAAAAAATCTAGAATATATAATTGGAAGAAGTGCAGTATTTATTTTTCCAATGTGATAAGCGTATTGTATCTTTCAAACTTAAAAATACCCCCTTAAAGTGTTAAATATCTGTCTTTAAATATTAGTATCCAAACTGTTAAGAGGAAAAGATGATGAAGTATTTGTGACTTTCTGAGAATAACTTAGTTTTGGAATTAAATGAAACCTTAAGGGTAACATTTTTAGTTAACCTGTCGGAATACAAATATAATAAGTGTAACACGAGTCCACATAATTAGCTGTAGCCGTGTAACGACAGTTTCATGTCTGCTTCTTCTTACTGGGTTCTGATTTACTTCTCAACAGTAGAAAAAATGAGGTAAAATTGCACCTCACATCACGACTTTATCGACTTTTGCACTTCTGTCACGACTTTGGGACCTTGGCAATTCGATACCCAATCTTTGGTGTTTTTTCAAGACCAAGCATTGACCACCTCGACGGCCGAAAGATGCCAGCTTGTCCGGCAACTTAATCCAACATGACACTGACGTGGAGAACGTGATCAGGCCAAAATATACACCTCATCAATGCGACGTCGTTTCACCTGTAAAAACATCTTATTAATAGCAAAAAATCCCCAAAAAATCATCAAATCCCTAAATTTGTTGCGACCCTGTGACCCTCCCTACACCCTGAGACAAGAAATTGTTCTTTAGCTCCAAAAAACCACTGCAATCTCTATCTTAGAAGAGAGAAGTTCATACATGTCCGTCATCTTCAATGGGGATTTGCAGAGATTTTGTAGGGTTCTTCAGAAATGGAAGGCTTTCTGTACAAATTTCCAGGTTTTTTTAGAAATTGTGAAGTAGCCGAGAATCTGCAGGGTTCTTCCACGGCTTTTGGATTTGTTGACACAAATTTTGGGCTGTCGAGGAAAAAGTGAATGAGATTTAGGGATTTTTCGATTTCGATGTAGGAACTTAGGGCATCTGTTTGGTCGAGAAAAGAGTGAATGGTTTTTAGGGATTCGATTTCGATTTCGATTTAATGTAATAAATGATTTTTTTTGGTATTTATACATGATGAAACGACGTCGTTGGACATGGCATGTCATGTTGGCCTGAGACACGTCCTCCACGTCAGTGCCATGTTGGATTAAGTTGCCGGACAAGCTGGCATCTGTCGGCCGGCGAGGTGGTCAATGTTTGGTCTTGCAAAAACACCAAAGGTTGGGTATCGAATTGCAAAGGTCCCAAAGTCGTGACAGAAGTGCAAAAGTCGATAAAGTCATGATGTGAGGTGCAATCTATACTTATATTTAAAGGGAGTCCTATTTACTAAATTAGCACGTGCATGCTCAGATCAGTACCGGGTCTCAGCCACTGGCGGTGTCTTTCATTTATGCTAGCCCGAATCCCCGAATCCGCCGCTCTCTTTGGGACCGGTTAGTAGCTAGAAAAGTCAACAGCATTTATTGTCATTATTATTTCCGTATTATACAGTTTTATTTAATATTTGTTTTTTTGTTACGATTTTTAAAAACAGATATGGTCAAATTCTCTTATCATTAATTACTTTTCATTAATTATAATTTATTTATTTATTATTTTCTAGCAAAAATGGACCAACATTAATTGATTTCTTTAAAATGTGGAAGTTNCAAAAGAACAGCCCCCAGCTGAATACAGACAGCCAAAGACTGAATACAACCAGCTAACAACTGCATAAAAATGGGAGGACAGGTCAAAGACCGCCTAGAGCCCGACCCCAATAGGGTAATACTCGGGAACACACAAAAAACACAAGAAAACACTAAAAACGGCCCCAACAGGGTAATACCCGAGTGTACGGTATTACACTTTATTTATTACACTAAAAACATTAATTACTTTTCATTAATTACAATTTATTTATTTATTATTTTCTTAACAAAAACGGACCAACATTAATTGATTTCCTTAAAATGTGGAAGTTGTTGCTTTATTTTTTTACAGAAAATCGGGCTTCATTATAGAAATTTGTTCAATTACACAATGAATTTTCTATGATATAATTATTTTTTATGGAAACTTTTTTTTTAACAGAAAAATATGGTATTTCAATAAGATTTTTGATTTTTTAAGACTGATCGTTATCATGCTATGAAATTGAACATTCCAATATACCTTAACGAAATATACACGTGGTGTACATTTGTTAATAGAAATATGGAATCCTCATATTTTTATATATACGTATGTAATTTTTCTATTACCAAATTTAATTGATAGTTGTTGTGTTATGGGTTTTTTCATAATTGTTACTTGGTTGTTGTGATATTTAGTTTGGTTGGTGTCGCAAAAATTCTAATCTATATATATGATAAGAATAATCATTACAATGCAAATTAGAAAAATATTGATATTAGAAGAGATTGAGTTCATGGCTTTTCTTAAATCAAAGTTGTTTAATTAGTATACAAAATTAAATTTTAAAAAAATATATGTGTATATTTTGTACTTATTTATACACTATTTAATTTTAAATTTATTTACATATTTTAAATTGATTACTTATATAAATAATACCAATGTGCATTAAATATATTTCATTACATTAAATAAAAAGAACAAGAAGACGTGTAACTTGTATAACTTTATAAATAATAATGACATTATATGGCAACAGAGTTTAATAATTAACTATTATATAGTGAATAAGAATAAGTAAAATTGTTATTTTCTCTTATATCAAGGAATAAATATATATAATAAAATTAAATTTATATTAGTATAAATGTGTTAGTGAGATAATATATTAATTATTTTACAAGGTAGCCTTAACATGCTCACGTTTAATGTTCTGATTAATAAAACAACGCTGATTATAAGATGTGAAACATAGATTACAACCCTATTTTTTTAGACTTAACGGTGATTGAAAGAGGTGGAAAATAGATGATTAACTTTTTTCAGACTTAAACGAGACTTAACGGTGATTAAAATAGGTAGAAAATGGATAATAACTATTCTCAGACTTAAACGGACAGAGCCTGTGAAAATAATTCATTTAATATTTCTCTCTCATGCATCGCACGGGGTACGTACTAGTTTTGCCAAAAAATGATATACTTTTAGGTGACCAAACGTGACTACAAATGGCCACACTATTGTTCTCTTACTAATATGCAAGTCGGAAAGATGGTATAACATAATCGAGTCGATAGAAATTGAAATACAAGATATGGGTTGCCGTAAAAGACTTCCCGAAGATGGTATCCCGAAGATATAATTTTTCAAAGACCTCCCTTTCTATAAATAAAGAGGTCCAGAGGCCTTGAAGGTTACCATTTTCTACTTCTATCTCCATTATATATAAGATCCTTTGTAGTAAAGTTTTTATTTATTTTTTTACTATATTTCGATTTTCACGCCTTTGAAAGGCTCTTGGATAAAACGAGGCTCGAGAGCCGACCATCTCATCGATAAGAATTGTTGGTGCAGGCTCCTTAATTCGTCGACAATATAAGTTTTTTCTCTTTTCAATTTCTTCATTATTATCAAGTTAATTTTCATCGTAAAACACTAAAATATCATACAATTATAAGGCCATCACCTCGGTGGTCCCGTTGACGGAAACACACGTCAACAATTGATATTTTTGATATAGATGTCGTATTGAAGATCGTCAAAAGATGATTAATTTGATACATTATATCTGAAAAATAAATTAATATAAAAAAAAGTTATTATGTTTCAAAATATGATAAAAAATTAAAGTATTTAATAAATAAAATAAATAATAATAATAATAATAATAATAATATCATTTTCGTATGATATAATGTTGTGTACTACTTCATACTAAACAACACTCTATTTAAATTTTTATTTATATTATTGAATTTAAACTTCATGTTAATGCTTAATATAGTTAAATTGACCTCGCACTTGTAACAATTTTATTGTAAATTATTTTATTATATTGTGTATCACCTTAATATGTTAGTACAATTTTTTGGTATAAAATTTTTATATGTAATTTACCGGTTAAAAAGTAATAGTTATCTCTAATTAAAAATTTGTGGATAAACGTTTTCAACGAGATTTCTCTTACACGCATTCACAACTGTCGCAACTCGCATGTATAAAACAAAGCCATCCATGGAGAGCACAAACTGCAAGTCTTCACCAACCACCAGCAATGGCGGCTGCTTCAGCTACGCCCTTTGCTCCTCCCTTCAAACTCTCCTCCCCAAAACACCTCCCTCGCACCAGAGCCCTAAAATTGAATCTCAAAGGCACCCATCAGAATCTTATAGCTCGAAAAAGGGCTACTTTATCGCTTCCTTCGATTTCTTGGTCAAAATCCAGCCACAGATCAACACCGTCAGCACCTTCATCAACGGTCGCCACCCGTGCCTACGTGTCCGGCCCCGCTTTCGACTTGCCCGAAAATGATCCAAAAATCAATGGCACTGAGGAAATTGCTGAGCTGAAGCCAATTGATGCTATAAGTTGGGGGCTGTTGTGGAAGCTTATTTCCCGGCATAAATGGAGGGTTTTGGTCTCGATTCTTACACTTTTCGGCTGTACAAGTTGTACTCTTGCCATGCCCATATATTCCGGTATGTTTGAATTCACACATTCTGTACTGACTCGTTTTGTACATCTTGATTGGTCATGATAAACAAGGACTGCTGGAATGAGTTACTATTATTATGATTTTTTGTTGGATTTGGCGAAGATTGCGAGATTTGTAGGCAAAGTTTTCATTTTTTCTTGTCATATAACTAATAAGTTGTGGGATTTTGGTCTGTTGGGGGTTTATGCGATTATAGCCCAAGCCTGTATGAATCGGAATTAGACAGAAAAATAATGGCATTTCTGTGTTTTTTGGTATTTGTGAAGCACGAATAAGTTACTCTTTTGGATTCAGGTGATGAGTGGTTGTGGCTATTTTAGGTAGGTCTCAGTGGATAACTGTGAAGTTACTCTCTTGAATGATTGTGGTGCTTTTATGAATCATGTGTATACTCAATTACTGAAGCTTCATAACCTGAATAATTGATTTTTATTTTCTTTTTTTTTTCCGATGAGACGATTCACCTATTTTTATTATTTTGAAGAGTTTATAGGAGAAGTGGTCTGTACCCTTAAAAACTGAGCTGTTTAATCTACATATTGGATAACGAAACAGGAGTTATGCTTGAAGAAATTTATTATTTGCACCTTTACTCTGATTTTAAAACTAAGGAACAGTATTTGTTTAGTTCCTAGTAAAACTAATTTTAGCTGGAGAATAGCAAGTATGGAGTTCAAAAATCCTTTCTATAGTTTTCTGTAATCTCACTTAAACCATTAGCTACAAACATGCAAAGTTAATTTTTTTATCATCTGTTTGACAGTGTACCGCATTATTAATGTTCATTTTTCACATGATAGCACTTATCATATAATATGCTCTGTGCTCAAAAACCATCTTAAGTAGCATCTGCTCCAAAAAAGTAAAATGCACATAAACGCTTAAAAGTTAAATCAACTTGAACCTTCAACAGCCTGCTACAGATAACCTGTTTAGAGTGTGTCTCATTTCAATTGAAGTCCAAATTTGAATATGACTCTTACCTTGCTCTTTGATTTTGGTTATTATTTCAGGGAGATTTTTCGAAGTGCTAATTGGGGCGAGACCAGAACCAATCTGGAAACTGCTGAGTAAAGTGGGAATTCTGTACACATTGGAGCCAATTTTTACAATTATTTTCGTCATAAACATGAATAGCATATGGGAGAAAGTTATGTCTAGCTTAAGAGCACAAATATTTCAACGAGTGTTGATTCAGAAGGTACAGTAATTTTTCTTTATTATAAATTTTTGCTGTCCAGTATTTGTTAGTTTGCTTATTTTTACTGTGAGAAACAGCTTCAAAATACATACATTTTTGGGTTACAGTATTGAGTCAATTTTTGAATAGAGAGCAACAAAGAATGATGAACCTTCAGATTTTGCGCAGATCAGATTTCTATGAACCTAGATGGATTTGTGTGTTCCTGCTGACTGCTGAATATTGACTTAATTTTATGTCAGAGTACATTTTGCTTGTGGTTCATTGCCACTTGAAAATTGGCAATGGAACTGGTTTCAAAATTTCTAATGTACATTAAATGGCATTTGACTCGTATAAATAAGCTTCCACTTAGATCAAATATAACTGAAGAAAAAAATTTAATCTATGGTATCGGAGCAACTGTAAACAATTGCTGCATTTTTTTTTATGTTTGTTTCCAGTTTCCAATAATATATCTATTTGTCTTTTGCAGGTGGAGTTTTTTGACAAGTACAAGGTATGCAAGACTCTCTTCTTACTATTTTATTCACTTTGTTATTTGATTTCATGATCTGTGTGCATTTCCTACATTGGTGTTTAGCTGATACACGTCTTCTCTGGCATATCATTGATATGTGTCCTTGCTTTCGTTTGGAGGCAATGCCTGTAATTTTTCCAAATTAATACTCTTCTATAAAACAGCCTGCAATTAAATGAGTTCCTGGAGCGACAAAAATATATCTTTGATGTGTAACCTTAAACTTTCTCTACATTTCCATTTCTATCTATGGTTTCTGTTAGGAATTTGATGTAAACTTGATGGAATATATTTCTTTGCGATTTAAGAACTTTGGAAGGGTAATTAGAACCTTCAAGATCAGTAATTTTGGTGATAAGTGTTATGCTCTTGGTTACAAACAATTAGGAAATGACACTTCAATAGGAGTTGTTGATTCCAGTAATATATAAAAGATGCTAATATTAGTTCACAATGCCAATGGAATATTCCTTTTGAACAAGATTTTGCTTACGTCTACAGACTAAGAACCCTTTAAACACTGTTTTTGATATCTTTCAGCCACATTGAATCTTAGGATGCTTCCTTGTTTATCCTGCTTTAGCTTTATGCCTATTGCTCAATATGTTACTTTTAATCTCCTTGTTTTATTCACTGACTTTTTTTTTTCCATTCTTTGTAGGTTGGAGAACTTACTGCTTTATTAACATCTGATCTGGGTTCTCTCAAGAACATTGTTAGTGAGAATATATCAAGAGACCGTGGTTTCAGGGCAATTTCTGAGGCAAGCTACTCTACACTATGCAAAAGTGAGCTAAATTAATATATTCAAAATTTCTCGGATATGAGTTACTAGTTATGGCCTTAGCTCCTTCATCTGAATACATTCTAGAAGTTCGTTGGAGATCAGGATTCAGACAATTAAGAGTCACTTTTATAAGTTTCACCGTGCAAGTAGTAGCATTCTGTTTTGATATATTACATATATGCATATATTTGCTTCTACCTCTTTGCCTTAAGCCTTGAAGACCCCTTCAATATGTTTTAATCATCTTCGTTGCAGGTTATTGGGACGCTTTGCTTACTTTTTGCTCTGTCCGCCCAGCTGGCACCTGTTTTGGGCCTACTTATGCTTACAGTGTCTCTGCTAGTTGGTAAGTAATTGTCTCGTAGAGTTTCAGTTTATATCTTTGTCTCTGAAATTGGTGTTCTCAAAGTTGATAAACACAATAGTTTTTATATGGATTTAAAGAATTAGTAGACTTGTCTATTGCAGCATAATAATGAAAGAAAAGGATAACATGTTATTAATTCCATTGAGCAATGTACTCTTGTAACATCCCGCGAATTAATGTCTCACCACTTTAGCTTGTCTGGAGGTTTTTGCAAGTTCAAACTTGCCACGTGGGTTGCATGATAAGTACTGTAAATTAAGAATACTGATGTTTATGGAAAGTAAACGTAGGTTCCTCCCATTTTATTGCATAAAAAAATAAAATGCCAGTCTCATAGTCCTTGACAACATATTGCACCATGTTCCTTCTATTTGACTTGTTGGCAGACCTGTATTTAATCATGACATCTATATCAAGAAGCAAATAATAGTATGAATTGACTGGATCTTATTGCCTACGTGTATAAAAGAATTTTCTTGATTTTTGTCACCCTTAAAATGGTTTTCCTTTCTGGTATTTTCATTCTTCTTGTCTTGGGAACTCAACTAACATTGTGATTCTCTAGCTGTCTATAAGAGAACTACTGTGAATGTCTTTAAAGCTCATGGATCTGCCCAAGCCGCCATTGCCGACTGTGTTACTGAAACTTTTGCTGCTATTCGTACTGTAAGTTCTTTTTTTTTTTTTAACACACATGTCTTTTCGTTATGTATATTTATTTACTTTTCTTCAGTTTATGGCATCCATTTAATCATTGACCGCGCGTCGCAACGCGGCAAAATTAATATTTATATTATTCCTCAACTAACCTCTACTAACTAGTAGTAGTGGCAAGTAAGGGTCGATCCCACGAGGAGTGTGAATCAAATCGTGAATTTCTCGTATTAATTGAAACTATAAAAAGCGATAAATGGGGGGGTTTTGATTTAGTAACTAAACTAACTAAAATCCTAATGAAGCAAATAAAATCTAAACAATGAAAATAAAAATAAAAATAAATAAATAAAGAGAACTTTCTAGTTCACGGTTCCGTCTACACCCTCGACTGACTCGTCTAATCAATTCTGGTATCAAATCTCTCTATCTCATAGAATTACTAGCCCTAGGCAACGACACGGTCAGTTACCCGAATTTTTCCTTATTTTTAATTTAACCGCGAGACGCTCTACGATTAAACCTGACTTCTTGTACAGTCCAGAGAAACGTTTTCAAGATTTAATACAATTAGCAGCTTTACGAATTAGAAAAATAGGCTAGACTAAGTAGTGAACTCAACCGCGTTCGTTCACTTAAATAGGCCGTGTTATCCCCGGTAGTTACCATCTTCCGGTTACCTCTTATGAATTAAACACAACAACAATTACGGATTGCAAGTCTAATTCAGATGTAGATATGAAAAAGCCTAATCTAGGTGATCAATCTAAACAAGACTAACACATCATGGTGAATTATTCAAAATAACACAAACAATTCCAAAAAGATATTGAAATTGTCAACCACGTAAATTAATCAAACATCGTCAAGTCGTAAGGTTCAACATCACCGGAACTAGAATAAAAACTACTCTAACATAATAAAATAAAAAGAAAAAGATAAAAGAGAGAGATTAATTATCTCCCTCGTGTACGGGTGCGGCCTCCCTCCAAGATTCTTCGAGCTCCTCTCGTTTTTCTGCTTTTTCCGTGCGTCTGTCTTTTTTTTTCTTCTCTGGCTGCGTGCGTGAATAATTTATCTCCCAGGTCTTCCCCTATGATGCCTTTCCCTAATTGGCTTAATTAATCAAAGTAGCGTATTGGACTTTGTCCAAGAATTCATAATTGGTGGGCCAACTTGTTTTATCTCATCCTTCACATGTCATCTATTAGGCCCACCTCTCAAACCTGAACGCTTGACCCAATGAAATTAATTTCTCTAAGTCCTCTTACGTGAATTTCATGGGCTCTGTTGAACGTCTGAATATGGGGTGCTGTTGGGCCAGTACGGGACACCCCCATACTCTGCTGGAAAAACTTCTTCATCCTTCTTCGTGCATCCACACATCTTCGTGCAATCAAGATAGTCCCAAAAATGCTGAAAATAGATAATAAAATATCAAAGTACACGAATTCATCCAAATAATAAATAAGTCGAAAATTATATAAGTGCGATAAAATTAAGCATATAAAAATACGCTAATAAAAATATAAAATACACACTTTTTCCGACCAATCAATCATCTTTCTCCTAATTATATAATTCTTGCAGGTAAGGTCATTTGGGGGAGAGAAACGTCAAATGTCACTTTTTGGTCGACAGGTAGAGACCACTCGCAAGTTTGCATTTTGTATGCTTTGGAAGTGTGTAATAGAATAATATAGCTATGATGAAGTTTTACGGGTTTTTTCTATGCCTTAGCCTGTAATCGGAATTTTGTCAGGTTCTTGAGTACGAGAATAGTGGCATAACCCTTGGTATATTCAAGTCAATCAATGAGTCCCTCACCAGGGTTGCTGTTTATGTCTCTTTAATGGCCCTGTATTGTCTCGGAGGAAGCAAAGTAAAAGCTGTAAGAAGCTAAAAAAAAATTCTATCTCCCTTGTCAAGTTTTACTGCAATACCATCTTCAAACAGAATGGACATTACTCGTTCTTTATTTGTAGGGCGAACTTGCAGTTGGGACAATGGTTTCTTTTATTGGATACACTTTTACTCTAACGTTTGCCGTGAGTAATCTTTTTGTGCTGTATTCTCCTTTTTTTACATAACAATAATATTTCAGGTACTGAGACTGAACATTTTCTTCTTAGGTTCAAGGGGTAGTGAACACGTTTGGCGATCTTCGTGGAGCATTTGCTGCTGCAGATAGAATTAACTCTGTCGTATCTGGTGCTGAAATTGATGAAGCACTTGCTTCAGCTTTAGAAAAGGACTTGAAGAGAAGGAACTTGCACGATCCCAACCTTGAAGCTCTTCTAATCAATACTTCCAACGGGAAAGAGCAAACGAGGAGTGCCGGTTATATGTCATCCTTAAAATCTGCTAATGACGTGCGAAACCTTGCACGATCTGGCGACATACGCCTTGAAGGTTAGTACGAGTTAGTAATAATGAGAGTCGTGTTTTTTTTTTTTTTTTGGATNGAGTGTGATTGTTTATAAATTCAACTAGTTTTTATTTGGTTTGGTTTTAACTATAGTTAATTTTGAAAAAAAGTGGTATGGTTAGTTGTTAGTGGATATATTAAATTAATATTTAAATAAAATAATTAAAGTTGATTTGATGTAAAGTAGGAGAAAAATGATTGGAAGTGATGATTAGTTAAAATTATGTGAGTGGATGAATAGTGAATTAAAGTTGATGTGATGTGTAAGAATGATTGGTTATATTATTTAATTGTATTGATAAAATTGAAGATAGTGGAGTTGAGTTAAAGTTGAGTTAAATTTAAATTTTGATTGATTTTTTTTACTGTTGAAACGATATCCAATCGCTCCCTTAATTATCAACTTTGATCAATTATATCCTGCAGATGTTCATTTCTCGTATCCTCTGAGGCCTGATGTAGAAATCTTACGAGGGCTCGATTTAACGTTAAAGTGTGGAACTGTGACTGCTCTAGTTGGTCCAAGTGGTGCAGGCAAAAGTACAGTAGTGCAGCTTTTAGCTCGGTTTTATGAGGTTATGTCATGTGGGATCAATTTAAGCTCAACAGAATTTGTATTATTTTGTGAGGAGTAACTAACTGCATTCGTTTTTTATTTTGCAGCCGACCAAAGGTCGCATAACAGTTGCTGGAGAGGATCTCCGTTCGTTTGATAAGAGCGAGTGGGCTCGCGCGGTTTCCCTAGTGAATCAAGTAATTTCTCTGCATTTTTTCATTATTTTTGAAAGCATGGTCAATTGAATAATCATTGAATCACTGTTATATATATTTGGTCTATCTAAGGAAGAGGGGAAGCGACTTTTTTTATCCTAAACTTGTCTATTTGGAGATTCAGTCCTCTTAGTGGTCACCTTAAATTTGGTCTATTTTTTTATTGAAAAAAAAAACTCAACTTTTTGTTGTAAATTGTCATAGGAACCTGTTCTATTCTCAGTTTCTGTTGGAGAGAATATCGCTTATGGACTTCCAGATGAGTATGTATCCAAGGATGACGTGATAAAAGCTGCTAAAGCAGCTAATGCTCATGAATTTATCATTTCTCTGCCACAGGTAAATGGTTGTTTGGCTAAACTCCTTTTCACTTGCATGTTTTTGTTTATCGAGTGTTTTTCTTTTTCCTTTTTCTTATTTTTTGAAAGGGTTATGACACATTAGTTGGAGAGCGTGGTGGGTTGTTAAGTGGAGGGCAAAGGCAGGTACTCTCATCTCATCTCTCTCTCTCTCTGCATACATACATTATAAATAAATCTGCGGCTTATATAGTACTAATTCCATTTTTTCATATCCAGAGAATAGCCATTGCTAGAGCTCTGCTAAAAGATGCTCCAATCTTGATTCTTGATGAGGTAGGCATCTGGAAAACCCCAACTGGATTCATTTATAAGTTGTTGGTCACATTCACATGCCAAATATTCTTTAATGTAATATTATAATTTGTCTCCGTTTTCTAAAGAAAATAAAAAAGATGGAATGATGAAATCATGGCGAAGTTGCGATTAGATTACCCCACGAAAATATTTTTCCAAAGATTTTTTTTTTTTACCTTAAAAGTTGTGAGATCCACATACTAAAAAAAAAACACTATTTGTTCATTTCACAATTTTCTCTCTTTGAATTTGTAGACAAAATTATAAAAGCAAAACGAATCGTACCATAGTCTACAGATCTGGAAAATTTTTTATTCATTCACTTACATATTTCTAACTACTAGTCATTATCTTACTATTTTTGCAAATCAACTTGAATAAATACAAATACATTTTCAACTTATATCCATTCACATTCTCAAACATTTTCGTTCTCTCGAGGAAAATGTTCCAAATGAAAGTGATAATAACTCCCTCACATTTAGGATTCATTATATGCAGTGGTGGAAAACATCAGTTATCTTCAGTTGTTTTGACATCTTTTTAAATATTTTTATTTGGACCGTGCGTGAAGTGCAGTTTACCTTAATTTTTTCACTCTTCATGTTTGAAGCAGCTATGGTTACTATATAAATTAGATATATCTATATATGATTTTGGTATTGTATGCTTTAGACCAATGACCATACCCAATTTGCTTATCTTTATTTGCTATATGAAAAAGGCTACAAGCGCTTTGGACACCGTAAGTGAACGACTTGTTCAAGAAGCTCTCAACCGTCTGATGAAGGGTAGAACGACTTTGGTGATTGCTCACAGACTTAGCACAGTTCAAAACGCCCATCAAATTGCTTTATGCTCTGAAGGCAAGATTTCAGAACTTGGGACACACGCAGAGTTGCTCGACCACAAGGGTCTATATGCTTCCCTTGTCGGCACCCAAAGGCTTGCATTTGAATGACAAAAAATACGACAGATTCCTAAAACAACACAAATTTGTGAGTGTTGCTCCTTTTTTTTTTTTTTTGGGGTTAGTTTTTACCTTACTAAATTTCTCTTTCTTACTTCCTTTCTTTCTTCAGGAGAACTCCATCAGTTTGGCTGAAATTTAGTAAGATTCCATACAGACGTTATACAGGAACATATATTCGGTATGAAATCCCAAATTTTCATTTCCGAGACTTTTATGGATACAACTAAGTTTTTCCCTTGGTACACTTCTGGAATAGTTACAAAATCCTTGGTACAAACTTGTATTTATTTATAAAATCCTTCTGCTACAAAAATATTCGACCTGTTTGTTCGTCGTATCTATGTTGTGCTGCTCGAGAATGAGATTGTTGCATTCAAAATCGCTAAGCACTCGGTAGGAAGTGTAAGGAACGTATCCATGAAAATATCATTAATAGGCTCGACTTTGGCCACACCAACTAGCTTGCACGTCCCGTCTTTTCCAAGTCTCTCCCCTTTTTCTCCTCTAATAATCTCCCGTTTACATTCTTCCGATGTTAAAACCGTATCCACAAGCAGCGGCCGAGCCTTATACACAGTCCCAACAGAAAAACAGAATCTGGCCCTGAACTTGAGCTCGACCTGTAAATAAATATATTTACAAGTGATCTTATTTTTAAATGAAAGCAATTTTATGAAAAAAGAATTCAGACAATTACCACCTTGCCAGAATCCTGGTCAATGCTTCCATGAAAGGCCTCGGGAAGTATGTCGATTTTCAAAAAGGGCGGTAAGGGCAGCCCAAGGAACTTTGTAGTGGCTGTTGATAATGGCGGTATATACAATCTCTTCACGTCGAAATCAACAGAAAATTGATTGTTTGATTCTGCTATTTTAGCTGCCATCCCAAAACCCGAGCCACCGTTGGCATTGTAATCGAAATTCGGGTATCTGGAGATGCTGAGCTGGCATGCTTCGAGAGTCGTGAACTTAACGTTGTACGAGTCGGGTTTTTGAATCTGGGTTTGTTTGGTGGTGGATTTTGAGGCCAATTGGTGCTGGTTTAGGTTGAGTTTTGGAGATAATTGAGAGAAAGAAGATGTGGTTTGGGTTGTTTTGTGGAGAAGTTGAGGACTCAGATTGGGGATTTGGCAGTGCATTATTTGGTTTCTCAAGTGTTCTGTGAATTGGGTTTTGTGGCTTGCCTTGTATTGATGTGGGGGAGACTGATGTGAGGTTAGGATGATTCCTTTAGTTGGTGGGTTCTTATCTTGTTTTTTTGGCTCCAAAATTAGTTCAACTATAGGTGGNAAAAAAATATCATATGGCATGCAGAAAATAGACTTAATATATAAAAAAAATATTTTTCAATACAATTAAAAGTACACATGGTTTAACTTACGTGACAATAAAAAAATGAGACCAAATCTACTCTTGAGTCTATTTTACACCCAAGTATAAATATGAACGGTCAGCATTTATTTTTAATTTAATATTTCTTTTAAGAGAAAAAATATATTAGAGCATTTTTATTAGTCGGCAAGTATTTTAGACCTAGTATTTTATTTTTGTACTGGATAATTTTTATTAACAATCTCAGTATATAAAAGATGGTCCAAAAACTCAGAAATGATGCTATCCTGAAAACCAAAAAAACGATCCTAGGGATTGGCTTTGAAGGATTGCCTTCATTCTCATATAGGAAGTAGCCCGAAGAGTGACCGCTATCGGATATCGATGAGGGAGAGGAGCCAATACCAGCATAAGTAATAGTTTGACCAGGGGATCTTCAAAGGAAAAGAGTGGGTGGGAAGGGCGTTCGTTGGCAAGACCTCTTAGCGGGGTCTTGTCCTGGATGCAAAAAGCCCGGTTCGCAGGTTGAGGTCCTCCTTTTATATGCCTCATATATAAAACTAGACACATGCATTGTGGATGCTTAGTAAAAAAAAAATTGTGTATGTCTTGACCCTAAATAAAATTGGTGCCAAGACAAATCACAATTTCAATAATTTTCTTTCGCAATCAATTGTATTGTACGTACTATGTATACTCAATAAATGAAAAGGGGAAAATACAAGTAGGAAAAAAAAAAAGGGTGAAAAAGAAGAGGATGTACCGTTGAATTTTATCCAATCTATCTTATTTATAAAACTCATCTTGTAAATTTTCAAATGACACATCTTGATAAAAAAATCGGGCATATTAACCATTAGAGAAATTAAGTTTTTCTTATGCACACATAATGCCTAACTTTTTCGTTGAACAATTTTGGACTAAGCAATTATCAGAAATCAATAAAATCATACTTCATTTTGTTCGTCTCGTCATGGATTTAAAAAATTTTAAATCAATTTTAAGTTTGATACAAAATTTATTGTTAATTGAGTAAAAAATAAAAACATTGTGTCATACTAGTGTTTTTAATTGAAGGATGTAAATTGTTAATTTTGTATATTATGAGAAATAATTTATCACTTTTAAATTTACATGATAAATTTTAAAAAGATATATTTGGAAGGTTTCAAAAAAAGTCCCAAAATAATTGAAGTTGGAAGTCAATCAATCCGAAAAAAAAAGAAAAGAAAAATGACGTAATCTTCACGCTGTAAAATCTACTCGTTTCTTACTTACAAAAACAGATTCTGCAGTAAATCTATAGTGAAAAAGAAAAAGAAAAAAGAAAACAAGACACAGCAAATATTGCCTTCTCCCAAGTCCCAAATCCATCTCTCGCAGAAACAGTGTCCTGCAATTCCTAAATTTAGGGTTCATAAAATCTCTTTCAAAAACCCTAACTCGATCTCGAAATTCTTTTGTTCTCTTCCTTCTTTCTGATCGTGGCACCTCTTACTCACCCTAACCCTCGATATCACATGATCATATTCCAACCGGCGCATACGTTTTGCTCTAATCCAACAAGAAAGTCCTCTCTTTCCCCCCTTTATTCTAATCTTGTTTGCAGTGTGATCTGCCATGGATGTGAATGGTGGAAGAAGAGTTTTCAACAGGCTCGGACCATCCTCTTCGACTGATAACGGCAATAATAGTAATAAGCAGCAGAAAGTGTGTTTTCATTGGAGACAAGGAAAGTGCACGAGATATCCTTGCCCTTTTCTGCACAGCGAACTACCGGCGGCAGCGAATGGCAAGAGGGCTCATCAGGGGTTCGGACAAGAGGATAATTATCGAGGAGGTGGAGGATTGAGGAGGAGTGGGAACTATAATTTTAGTAATAATAATACCTGGGGGAGGGTGCAGTCGCAGCAGCCCGTTAACAGTAGGTCGGTTGTGAAGAAAATTGAGAAATTGTGTAATCATTGGGTACAAGGGAGCTGTAAATTCGGGGATGCGTGTAAATACTTGCACCAGTGGTCGACAGGGGATTGCTTTTCGATGTTGACGATGCTTGAAGGACACCAGCAGGTAGAAGGCTCCCCATCATTGGGTCATATGCTGTTCTAATTAGTCGAAGTTTGGATTTTTCTTCTCTCCGTCCTGTTGATTCTTTTTGGTATTTGATCTGGAGAGCCTGAGGTTATAATTAATGCACCTTATATCTTCTTTATTGTAGTTATTCCGATTCTTAAGTTATACTTGTTAATCTAATTGTTTTTATCTTAAAAAAGCTGAGTGCTGTTTGGTATGTATGGATCTTTGAGCAGTCTGTTTGATTTCTGCAACATGGAGTTTGCTGGTTAGCATCTTACCCTCTTTGTGTACTTAACAGAAGAAGTTGTCTATCAGGTTGTAACTGGGATTGCTTTATCTTTGGGGTCTGATAAGCTTTACACCGGTAGTCAAGATGAGACCGTCAAAGTTTGGGACTGTCAATCTGGTCAGGTTGTCACTTATTGTTTTCTCTGATTTATTTTTAATTATTGTTCCACCTTCTACCTTTTGTGGGTATACTACCAAATATTAGTGGAGAATTTCCAATTTTGAATAATGTATATTTGAAACTTATTGATCTACTCCATTATGTTTTAATTGAATACTAATGTGCGAGAGTTTGTATACTCAACTCCAGAAAAATTGCTGTTTGCTAGAGCATAGCAAAGGACTTCTTCTTGCGTCAATCTATTAAAAAATAGTAGGTGCAAGCTTAAACTCACACTTACTGAACCCAGGGTCTTGTCGAGTTTGTAAGCTTAGGTACAAGCTTAGGTACTAAGCCCAGGACCTCAATATCATGTCATTTAAAGTTGAACCCTTCGAGCTTAAATTTTTACTTCGATATGGGATGTTTCGCACATTAGATGCCTTTTACTATGCATTTAAATATGTAGTACCTAGTCAGAACCTTTTGGAATCATTTTATAATAAATAGTAAATCCTGTTGATGCACTTTTGTGTTGAAGTTTTCCCAACATGTACTTAAGTTTTCCTTCATTTTTGCCTTTTGGGCTTTCTTAACAGATTTCAGCTTCAGTGAATGTGGGTGGTTCAGTAGGCAGTCTGCTGAGTGAAGGTCCATGGGTATTCGTGGGTTTGACAAATCTTGTCAAGGTAAGATAAGACTTAAGAATGAAACTAACTTGGTTACTTGTTGCCTTTAAGTTCACTATATTACTATTTCACTGATCTCTCTCATTATATATATGCACACACACACACACACATACATGTGTTTGTGTGTGGAAGTACACATTACATAAAATCCTCTCCTTTTCCTGTAATTCCAGAAAAAAATAGAATGGAAGACCCTTGTGTACATTAATGTGCTCCTACCTGCATACAGATCAGTTAACCTTTACTTGTGATTCTAGAACATTTATTAACTTCTGTAGAACTTTATTTATTTTACCCATTTTTAAAGTTCTGATTTAAGATTTTCTTGATTACCAGATTATATCTCATTAGAGATTATCAACATTTCATAATAGAATTTCTACTAATGGTTTTAGTCATTTTCTTTTTGTGTACTAGGCATGGAATATTCAAACATCTACAGAGCTCAGTTTAAATGGACCTGTTGGACAAGTATATTCTCTTGTTGTTGGGAATGACATGCTCTTTGCAGGTACACAGGTATTCATCCTATTCCATGGCTAACGAGACCATATTTTCCCAGATCTATTATGCTTTGCTGGTAACACGAGCAAATTATCTTTAGGCATTTTGTTTTTGATTTGATGTCAAGTGTGAATACATCATTTAGAGGACTCTGACAATCACATGTAACAGATAAACAAGGTATTTGTGGGTTATTGTAGGGCATTTGTGTAGTTTTGAATTTTTGAGTTGCATTCTTAGGGTGTGTTTGTTTATAAATTTATTTTATTCATACTCAAAATCTAACTCAACTTTAACCCATCTCCACTATCTTCAATATTATTAATATAATTAAATAATGCCGAACAATCATTCTTATACATCACATCAATTTTAATTCACTATTTATCCACTCACATAATTTTAACTAACCATCACTTCACGTCATCTCTCTCTTAATTTTACATAAATCAACTTTATTTATTTTATTTTAAATATTATTTTAATATAACCTCAAAATCCCGCTAACAATTAACCATACTAACTTTTTCAAAATTAATTATGGTTTACCAAAAGAACTCATTTTGAGTGGATATATTTGTATGCAAGCACGCCCTTGCAATGAGTTCCAGGATAAGCCACCGCCCACAGGTTTTCTCAGATCCACTTTTTTTTTTTTTGAAATCCGACCATTGTTATCTTGTTGCAGGATGGGTCAATATTGGCTTGGAAATTCAATGTAGCTGCTAATTGCTTTGAACCAGCTGCATCACTCAAGGGTCACACTCTTGCTGTTGTGACACTAGTGGTTGGAGGTAACAGAATGTACTCTGGTTCAATGGACCACTCTATTAGAGTAAGTTGCATCCTTGTAATGAAATCTCCACCTTATTTATTTGTTGATTTGTGATTTATTTTTTTGAAGAAGTTCCTGGTGATGAGTAATAAAAAAAGTTTGCCATTGCTATGGTCCTCTGATTGGTGTTGATAACAATTAACAGGTATGGAGCCTGGAAACTTTGCAGTGTATTCAAACATTACCAGGGCATACAGATGTTGTGATGTCTGTTTTGTGTTGGGATCAGTTCCTTATATCTGCGTCATTGGACAAAACTGTTAAGGTTCATAGACCATTCTTAATTATTTGATTTCATGCAGAATTTTAGGATGCTTGAAAAAGATACTAGCTCATTTATTATTTTTTAATCTGTATACTTACAGGTTTGGGCTGCAACTGTGGGTGGTAACTTGGAAGTCACATATACCCACACTGAAGAACATGTACGTATTTATGCTGTTTTTGAACATTTCTAATTTCAAAGATCAGTGTAAATAAGCCCAACCGAAGGGTAACTGTGTAATTATTACTGAGCTGAATGATGTCAGCAATTGACAGTATATGTCTAAATGATACTTCATTCACTGTTAGTTATTTCGAAAACCTATTTGTGGCATGTGCTCTAATTAGAGTATTTGTACAATGTTTTTCACCACTTAAACTGGTTAAATGCAAATATATTTGTTTTTACATGTAGAAAGCTCTCTGCAGGGATTGCTTGCTTTGTGCGGGATGCATGATTCTGAAGCCAAACCTGTGTTGTTTTGTTCGTGCAATGACAATACAATACGAGTCTATGATTTGCCATCGTTAGTTCTAAATACTGCCCCCGTTTTTAGGTTTCTTGCAATTATTCCTTGATTTACAATATCATCATTTGGTTTCACCCTTTGTTTGCTCTTCAGATTTTCTGAGAGGGGAAAGATCTTGTCAAAGAAAGAAATTCGGTCCATACAGATTGGTCCCAATGGTTTATTTTTCACGGGTGATGGGTCGGGTCAGGTCAGAGTATGGAGATGGTCTGCCGAACCAGCCAACGCATGATGGAGAGATATACACGTTATAGTAATGAAATAATCCTTTTTATTGTCCCGAGTTTTATCGTGACCTAAAGGAACATGAGAAAATGCCAATTTTGAGATCTCATTATTCTTGGTCTCTCTTTGCTTTCGAGTGTCTGAATGAGCCTGTGTAACGGAATTCCTAATTTTCATCTTATAGAGGTCGTTTCTTGTGTATTTCAGCCATTGGATGATCTTGTGATAAATTTCATGTTGTGATGATCTTTGAAGGAATTACATAATCTTTGAGTATAACTCACAGTTTAGTAATTTTTGTAGCTTAAACTAATGTTGATGGTTCTGAAAATGCAATGATATGCCTGTTTGTAAAAGTTGGAATTGAAAAGATATTCATTTTCTGTTTGAAGATGTTTGAAATGGATGCTCAGTACATGTATGCACATTTATTTTACAATAACTCAGGACACAAGGTTAAGATTTGAAGTGCCTGCTGTTCATAGATTAATAATTCTTCATATTATCCAAAAGCCTTTTAATATTTTTACCATTTTAAATTACCTAATAAACACACTCTCCTACTTTATATACGCCTGGAGAATAGTAAGTATGCGAAAAATATTCTTGTCAGCAAAATCTTTAAGCTCAATAGCTAATCAGCAATAGCTAAAGTGGGGCAAAGCCGCAAAAACTTCATTTTGGATGTGAAGGAGTTGGTCGATTGCTGAAAAAATATGCAAGAAAACCAATTGCAAAATACAAGAAAATACATATTGAACATCTCATATTTAAGTTCAAGCTTGGTAATACAAACCAAGAGAAAAGTTGATTGCTGAAAGAATATGCAAGAAAACCAATTCCATAATACAAGAAAATACATATTGAACAGCCATCTTCAAGTTCAAGCTTGAAACCAAGAGAAAGGAAGACAATAGTTTCACACGTTATTTAAAAGGCCGGTCTCACTTTTTACAAAGGTACATTGTGCATAGCTTGCTTTATTCATTTTGTTTTTACACCATTCTCACAGAATCCCACAATTTCAGAGATTAAACATGACCTTGATAGCAGTACCACCACGTGCACTCGTCTCGAAAGCATCTTCGACTTCCTTCTGAGAGAATCCAAACCTGTGTGTTATCAACGGCTTTACGTCTATCTTTCCACTCCTCAGAAATTCGATGCACAAGGGCCACGTGTTCTTGTACCGGAATATGCCAACAACATCAACCTCTCTGGATTTTTCATATTCAAGAAAAGAGAAAAGAATGAGGGATAAGTTGTTTAAAAAAAAAAAGGAAATAATGAAATAAAGCTTAATTTTAAATAAAATAAAAAGAAGAGCGTGTACCTGACAGCAGCTGGGGCAAGAGGAAGGGTCATCTCAGTGTGACCCAACCCAACAAGGCAAACTTTCCCGCCAGATGACGTGGCACCAAGAGCTGTTGTCATTGTTTTATTAAATCCCGCACAGTCGAAAGTTATGTCGACTAATCCCCCCATTGCCTCCTTAATTCTTTCAACTTCCGTGCTCACATCCTGTTCCATAAGCTTCCTCACTTATTTTCCAGCTCTAATGGTATAAACATAGTTTATGGTAATAAACATGATCAGAGAACTCAACCAAAATTTTTGATGGAGTAATAGTCCAAAGATATGTATTTACAGCTTGGCTAGATTACCTGTAATGTAATAACACCCTATTCGTGTTTGTTCCTAGCTCATTTCCCAAATAGTATCTCTTACTATACATGACACAGATTAGAATTACAATATAGTCAAATTTCACAAAGAGCAACGCTTTTTTTGCCAAGAGACCAAATATTTCACCTGTTCATAGAAAACACATAATTTACTCTGCCAAGGATTCCATCAACGAAGATTTACAAACAATATATATGTAAAAATAGGTACTTACAGCAGCTGCCCCTAAATATGAAAGTGATTACCAAAAAAGGGAGAAGTTTGCGAATGTTACCTTGAGGTTTTGCCATGCCTTAAAATTTGAGGGCAAATTATATTACTTTTACCGATCAAAATTGGTGCTTTGAAAACTCACTGTGGTTTTATGGGGCACAATGGTTTCTTTTATTGTAGTTTTATTTTTTTCTTTTGTGAATACTCCAAATATGCTTACATTTATGTTAGTAGAGACTTTGACAGTCTCATCTGCTCCAAGCTCCTTAGCAACAGACAGACGGTGATCATCGACATCCACAATCACTATCCTCGGTGACCCAAAAGCCCGAGCAGAAAGCATGGTCACAAGCCCAATAGGCCCAGCTCCCATCACCAGCACATTCGTCTCTGGGCCCACATTCGCACGACGGCACGCGTGAACTCCAACACTCAACGGCTCACACATTGCCCCTTCCTCCAAACTCACATTCTCGGGCAGTTTGAAACATAAATCCGCAGGATGCACAATCTATCATTAAAAGAAGAAAAAAAAAAAAGAAAAAGATGGTTAGTATAAAAACAGAAGGAAAAAAAATTGCGTCTTAAACAGAAATGAATAAAGCAAACTCTGAGATATTTGTGTACAAGTTTAGGTCTTGGTAGACCTGATTTGCTAAAGAACCATGAACAGGAGGAGTAGCAAAAAACTTCATTTCAGGGCACAAATTGTATCGGCCTTCCTTGCAAAGATTACACCTCCAACAGCTTATTCCGGGCTCAATGGCCACACGATCTCCTGGCGAAAGGTGCTTCACTTCAGACCCAACTTCCTCAATAATGCCAGCGCACTCGTGTCCAATAACCATTGGCTCTTCCACCACAAAATCTGCTAATTTCATCTCCTGAGACATGAGAAACATTGTGATATCATGAAGTGCCACAATTTTGCTAAAATACAAAACGAGAAAAAGTGGTACAAAGAAAATGTATCTATCAATGGTTTCAATTTGTCATCATCTATAACAGAAAAAACCATATTGGTCTTTATCTATGAATGTGTAAAGTAAGATTTTAGAATCTTAAAGTGAATTCATACTTTCTAATTGTCGCACAGAAAAGTAGGAATTTTCATTTACATGTTTTTGCACGAGACACACAGTAGATTTATTATACCTATGCAAAGAGGACCCTTAACTACACCCACAGCGCACAGAAAATAAATGAAGAATTATTAATAGCTAAAAGAGCTTGAAAAAACACATTAGCGATCGAAAGGCTTAAAGCTAAAAACATTCACAGGCGTACAAACACGACACAATAATCAAAATTTCAGTGNAAAAAAAAAAAAAAAGGTCACCTTGAGGTAGTGAACATCACTTCCACAGATACCCACTGCTTTCATTCTTATTCTAGCATCATGAGGACCTATACAGAGCAAACAATTTACAAATTTTGAGGCCATTAACAAAAACATAAACATCTACATACAGTGATACAGACAATAAGAAATCCAATTTTCTCCAAGAAAAAAAAGATAGTTAGATTAGAAAAATAAGCAATTACCAAGAGGAGGGAGCTTGAAAGGTTGAATCTTGATATTGTTCACCCCAAGAAGCCAAGCTGCCATATTCTCTTCTTCTCCACTTTTACCCTCTCCATTGTTGCCATGAGACATCCCACCTTTCCCCATTTCTTCTTTTTCCTCTCTGAGCTGAAAAATCTTGGTTAGCTGTCTCAACAGTGAAGTTATGGACGGAAGCTTCGATGTTAATTGATTTTATATTTATCGATAAGTGGATATGCTTTGGATAAAGTTTTATTTTATCGAATAAAAAAAGGGTTTGAATAGAAAATAAAAGGAATATTAAAAGTGTAAATAATAAGATAGAATGTAATAATAATACACCAAAACAAAAATATTAAGATTAGGATTAGAAAGAATAAGACGATTGAATAATATTTAATAAATTTTTCAATGTATTCTCTCTTCTATTATTTTTCCATTTATTCTTAACCTTTGAGTGGGTTCGTTACTGAGGATAGGAATCCAATCTTCGTGCTTATGTATATCTTGTTGGCCACGAATAAAGTTGCCAAATAATAAGACCTCAGTGGAACTGAAGGCCGACATTTTGTGATTAAATTTTGAAAAGAAACAAAAAAGAGATATATATTGTGATGGGAGTTTGAGTTATCTCTGTGGAAATATGGGCTTGTGATGGGATATTTAATTATGGCTAAATTATACATATGCCTACATTATCTTTTTTAACTTTCTCTAATGCTGTCATTTTTAAATTATTATTTTATTGCAATAAAATATTTTTATTTTCACATATGTCAATTAGTTATCTCATAATCTATCTCCCCAATCAAATTACAAAAATAGATAACTAATACATACATTTTGAATCTCACATAAATTTCATGTAGTAGAGTTAATTTCTGGTTAGACAACGGCATCGCCAGCGGAGCTAGCAGAGGTGTACCGGCGGAGATCCAACTTCGACATCTTGGTCCTTTGCCTAACGGAGCCCTAGGGCGGCCTGCCTTCAAGGTCGACATGGTCATTTACAGCCTCATGCGTCACGCTGTTAGGAACGGTTGGACGTCGTTCAAAGACGCCATTAGTGTCGGGTTGCGCCGCACACCGACGCCGTTAGTGTTGGGTTGGACGCTGTTCACCGATGAGTGGACTCCGATCGCATTTTTTCTTTTAATTGGAATAAGGAAATGCATTTTTGTTTCATTTGTTGGTAAAATTGATTCACGGTTTTTATCTGCTGATGAACTCTCTGTTTTGAATCGCATTTGAGCGTCATTGAGCCCAGGTGTTTCTGTTACTTGAGAAGCGTGTTAGATTTGATTTTTACATTTGTTTTGTCAGCTTGTTCAACGTGATTCCATAGAGGTTTATTGTGTTCAGCCTTACTAATCTTCTTATATACAAGTGAAATTTATGTTTTTCGATTTTTGCCAGGTTCATTGCTTGGGGGGAAACGAGATGAATGTTGCCAGATCATGATGAGAACCATGGTCAAGAAACGCTCTGCCAGCGACGGTGTACGCTGCTCTGGCCTGACCCGCTGTAAAGGCTTGCATGAACGTGGGAGCATACGAAGAAAAACAAATGTAGCAAATGCAATGAAAATGGGCATAATGTGAAAACATGTTCAAAACCATATTTAATTTCGAACGTGCGCAGGTCTCCAAGTAAGTTATCAATACCCAGAGGCTGAATCCTCATGAAACGCTCAAGTGTCAGTAATTTATTTCATGAAACCGCTTAGGAAGGTCTCATGAGTTATTGCACTTGTCTTTTCTCCGAGACCTCTTCACCAAGAATGGCATTTTGGTTTACAAGATCACAAAAGCGAGCATAGAGCGTAGTACATATTTATTGTCTCGTCTTCCCTCAAGCTAATCTCATCAAATTCCGTAGTGATCCTTTGAAGCTTGGATGACTTCACTGCGTTGGTTCTCTCAAATTGTCTTTTAAGAATTTTTCATGCATCTCGTGCGGTGGTTCACTGAATGATCATTAGTGATGAGTTGGATTCACCGCCGACATAATAGCATAGAGAGCACGAAAGTTGGCTTCCTCTCCAAGTTTCTCGTTATCATTCCGATCTCTTGGCTTCTCGATCTTCACGTGTGTGGCTACACCAGTTGATGAAGATTTTATTTTCAGGCGGTGATTTCTCCATCGTACGTAATGTCCAACTGGTCTCTATTATATGCCAAGTTCATTTGCCCAAGGACCACAAGAAATCATCATCATGGACTTTCAATAAGAGTACTTAGATTCATCATCAAGGTATGGAGGGCGCGAAATCGACATGGCATCGTGGTTCATGGTGCCCGATCCAAAGGACCTCGGATTTTTATTATGTGATTATAACATAAACAATACTTCGATACTAATTGAATCGATGTGGGGGAGTACGTAGAGTACGCAACAAGTGTTTAAACACAGAAATTAAAAGTAGGAAGCAACAAATTAATAAAATCGTCTTCAGAGATGGTCTCAATACCCCTCAGAATGATCGATTTGCGCGCACAATGTACAACTTGAAGTTACAAGACAAGGACTCCCTCCAAATATTACCAACAGTATATCCGACTCTACTAATTACTTCTATGACTACAATGTGGACTTAAAAAATAGCTATTAGATTCCTCTTAGCTGCAAAAATACTTAATCCCTAAGCACTCGATGAGTTTTTGAATAAAGAACAAACAAAACTCTTTAGTGATGTAAGAACATACACTGAATTACTGTTAAACTAAACAAAGAACAAAACTCACGAACACTCAGATAATGTCTTGGATATAAAACTCGATAACCGCAACAACCATTCTTTGAGTTTTCGTGCATGCATATATACAAACTCCTCAAAGGTAAGGAGCCTTCACATTGCCTTGTATCGACATCTTTCCATGTGGAGTTAATTCCCTTATGTATTAGCTTCTTTAAGAGTTGTACAAGATCTTTGAACCGAGATCACGATCAACTTCGACTTCCCTTAAATGTGTGATCCATCACACAAGAAATAAAACAAGTAATATAGAAATAGATTTATCAAACATAAATAATATATGCTTGTTACTACTACATATTATTTACCATACTAAATAAATATAGTATCTAGCAAATAAAAAACTTAATTAAATACAAGGGAGAGAAAGTGAATCTTCTCGTTTAATTTGTTTTGCTTGACTTAACAAGAAAATCATCAAGATATTTGGATATTATCAAATTTTATTAGCATGTTCTAGGAACTAACCAATAAAATAACAACATATTGACATAGATGTAGCCCTTTCTTAGATAGTATATAGACATGGCCAAATGTTGGTTCCGGGTTGAAATCGCCGATTCAGGTCTGCATTTTATGTGAACCGAAATCGGCCTCGGTATATATATGAGCAAGTTCGCTAACCGGCAGTTCACAGTTCAAAATTGGATCGCCAGTTTATGGGTTGGTTCATGGTTGAACCGGTTTTCGACATTTTTTTTAAAAAAAAAAAAATTAGAGAGGGATGGGGGTGGGGGCTTAAAATAATAGACTTGAGCTTCGTTGACATATCATAAATCAAATATCACTTAAGTTGATTGTTTTTGGTTAAAAAATTAAAACTTATAACATGTCAATCAAGTTGCTCGAGAAATAGGATTTTTTTTACGTAGTTTCATCAAATAGCTTTGCTCGACTCATTAGGACTCAATTTTTGCTTTAATTTTGATAATAGAAACAAGCTCAAGTTCATTTGTCAACTTTATTTAACGAGCCAATATCAATAAAGGTTCGAGCTCAAGCTCGGTTGTGTTTGTTTACAACTCTAATTGCATAATACTTGCATTGTTATGCTTAAAGGATTTATTTCATGGAAAATATGATATGTTCAATATTAAGGGTACTTGCTTGGTGTACACAAGGGGTAAGGGGAATAAATTTGAAAATAATAGTAGTTGGAAATATTAATTAAAGTATTCAAGTTGAGGTGGTTGGTCATGAATATTGATATGGAGTCAGTATTATTAACTATATTTAAGAGAATTGGTTCATGACATATATATAAAAAGTATATAACAATATCCATATTGATCACCCCAAATTATGATACATGAAGTATTACCCCTTTTAATATATCGAATGAAAATCCTACAATGAAAACCCTTACCTAACAGGTAACCACATCATATTTATGCTCTTATCAAGAAGCACACACTTTACAGAGCATGGTATGTATTGAAAGCAAAATAAATGTATACACATTTTTTTATAATAAGAGTAAATAATTAATCTTCCCAATATAAATATAAATTTAATCTACTAAAGGTACAACAAATAGTTTAACTATTATTAAAACTAGGTTTCGAGATTGTCGTACTTCAATAAGTTTCTGAACTGATAATATCACTACAAGAAAAAATGTCATATTCCAACGAAAAATTTTATGACAATATATTCTAATGGAAATTCCAACGGATATTCCAATAGTAAAACTTCCGTTGGAATGTATTTTTCATTGGAATTTTAGATGGAATTTGATAATTCTAACGGCTATAATTTCAATGGCTTTTTACCGTAGGAATTTCCATTGGAATTTTTATTTCCATCATCGTTGGAAAATCTATCGTTGGAGTCGTCAAAATCCAACGGAAATTCCAATTGAAAACTCATTCCAACGGAATATTTTTGTTGGAATTATTCCAACGGAAATAATAGCATTGAAATATTCATTAGAATTGTCGTTAAAATTCTATTACAATATATTTCCGTTGGAATTTCATCATTTTCTTGTAGTGTATCTGTTTGAATCATTTACATACACTTGTTATGGTCATGATAATATGATACTGAACAATTATTAATCACACAAAATCAACCATACAAGATAAGAAAAATATCATGTTGTTCGAAAAATGACCACAAATTAGTATCTTATACAAAATTTCCTATAAACTATGATTAGGTTGTTACGTCGGGAGAAGATTGGACGTAACTTTGAAACTCGATTAGAAAAATAAATACACACGTGTCCCTTTTTGAAATGTGACAACGCAACTAAGATTTTCATTCGTTAGGCGACCAACAAAATCAACCGATTGGTCAACTAATCCTTGATTCCTCTCCCCACTAATTGAGAATGTTTTAATTGCTTAGCAGAACTGTTTTGCTTATCTTGCAAATGGATTAACAAACTACTTTCTCCCACTCGCAATTTGTGCTTTAGTCTTATATTTACTAATTGATATATAATAATAATTAAGGATGGTGAATAATGAGTAAATCCGGATAAAAAAAAAAGGTTAGCAACGTGTGTGTTGGTGAATGACGAGTAATTTCGGTTTGTTCGTTAATATGATAAATATCGCATGTTTTCTCTAAATTATCAACTTCTTTTTGTAAGAAACAATATTTA